TGTTTTTGGTGTAAATATTTGAAAATTACATATTTTTGTACCGAAAAGCTCAAATTTCTTGTCCCACTGTATGCCATTCGTCAAGGCATCAACCACAGAGTGAATACCTCGTGCCACCATTGAAAAGCTTTTCTGCATGTGCCAAGTTTTGAAATGAAACTCCCATCCCTACATATAATAGCATGCAATGCTCCAGTTTATAATGCTATCATCGTTAGACTATGCCCCTCCACAATTAGGAAGGTGATACATCCTACATGCACAGTACTCCCTTTGAGCACTTTGTGTATACTAAAAGCTGATACTTGATAAGGCAAAAGAGACACGTTGAAAGAGGGAGGAAAAGTGGATGGTTCTGTGAAAAGATATCTATCTGAAATACATTTTCAGGTATGACACACATTAAGTTCTGAAATGCTACTCACTTCTCTACAGAACCAATACCTCACATTAAAAAGATGATGAACTCCTTTCTGAGAATATAGTGACGGACAGGGAAAACTCAATAGAAGTTGTATTTGAAAAAAGAACCTCCTGCATGATGCTAAAGTGTCATGAATGCGGGAGGAATGTAAAGATGGCTCAACCAACCCGTATATCCTGTTGGCTGGCCACGTATGGGTTGTGTGGTTAGAGCAATACGTCAAGCCAAAAGGTATGCGAGAAATTATTTTGTTATATACTTATATAAAGAATCATTCCAGACCTTCAACTGAAGAAGAACACAAGACCTATTCTGCTGGTCAAGTTCTTAGTGTAAGTAAAAGCCTGCACTACACTTCCAGATAGAAACCTCTGGTCTACTTCCAATCAATAGGTGCATTCACTAAGTCTCATACCAGAGGAATTACACTTACTTGGGAAGAAAGAGTTCTCCTACAGCATTAGAAGAATAAGAGGAAAAAGAAAGATGCGAGAACTGAACCAAAATAATTTATCATCTATATATGGTCCTAAAGTGAGAGACAGTGCAATGGGTTACCATGAATAGAGCCAGGTGTGAGAGCAGAGAAGCCCACTTGGTACAGTTTTTTCCTTATTTGTTTGATATATGTAGCAGCATAGCTTGGAAGGTGAAATATTTAAACTGCCAAAGCAGTCTTACAGGAGACCCCACCTCAACAGTAGGCACAAATTGGCTTAACATATTCTTTTACACCTTCTTGATACAGACTTTTGAGAGAAAGAGGTATTGTCTGTGAAACAACACCAGTCATGTAGTGGTTCCATTGTCTCCAGTATATGTATATTATTTTTGTGTGTGTATATTTGAAGATGGTTGCTTTTTTGCAGAAGCTTCAAGAAAAATAAATAACAACTCAACTCTCTAGAACCTCTGGGAATATTGGAGGATGATGAATGGAGAGAGACAACACCCAGATGCAGAAGAAACTACAATATGGTGTAAGTAACTTGATATACAGGTACGGAGATCATCAACATCTTAGCCTGTAACATCCTGTGGATATTGGCTACCAGATGCAAGAGAAGCAATAAGGTGACAAAAAAACTGGAAAGAAATCATATCCTATAGAGGAGGAAGACACAACCTGGATGAGTTGTGTAAACCAACTGTTCAAGGTAGAAGAAGTCACATTAGGAAGAGACATTTCACAGCAAAGAAAAAAAAGAGAGTAATGCAAGCAAAATAACAGCAAATTGGCCAGAGAAGAAAGGAAGATTTCAATAATGAATTCTTATTAATTAAATATGTAGCTGTTGAAAGAGAACTTAAGCCAAATATAGTAGATAGAGCATTTAAGAAATTTAACAAAGGTTTTAATGTTAGTTAAAAAAATACTATGTTAAGATCTATTTATGAAAAAACAAAAAAGAAACTTTAAGTTTACCTTATATTCCAAGATTAACAGGTCAATTATTTAAAGCTTTTAAGAAACAACAGAACTTTTATCCAATCTTTAAGCCTATAAACAAGATTAAACAAATGTTAGGGATTGCTAAGGATAAAATAGAATTAGAAGATAAAACTGGGATTTACAAAATAAAATGTGAATGTGGGAGTATTCATAGTGGTCAAACTAAAAAAGAATTTAAATTACAGATTACAGGAACATAAAGATTATGTAAGAAATAATAAAATAGAAAACTCGTCTATTGCAGAACATGTAAAAACAACCCAACATAGAATTTTATGGGAAAAAATACAATCTCATCTCCACCTTATAATATTACAGCTTTAAATGTCAGAGAATTACTAGAAATAATAAAAGTTAAAAAAGAAAAAGTATTAAACAGAGATGAAGGGCCATCAAGTTAAACCATTAATATTTGGTGTGATATAATATAAAGATTGATGAAGGAATTATTTAAATATAAAAAGCAATGTAATATTATGTGACAGGAAAAAAAAAAACTGTATAAATTGGTATGTATTGCAGATCACTCCTGAAGACAACGTAGAGAACGTTGGAACATTGTACATGTAGATTGTATTTTTAAAGTGGAAGCCATTGATGGCTTCAATAAAGTTTTTTAAATTGTGTAAATATGAAACCTTGATTTTAATTATTTATTAAATTTTAGACAATACACAAATGTCAATCATTCATATCTTCAGGTTTATGCAAGTCATGTTAATTAACGAGATCACCAGATTACACTTTACAAATAACTAACATGGATATTCTAATTATACATACATGACACTTCATACATAGAATCACACCTGCTGATAAAATATCCACAACGTTTATGGTAGAATTATAATCCTACAACATCAAGATGTACAATCGTATTTGTAGAGACTACAGTAACTGGAAGAGGCACGAGTGTTACTGTATGAAACATGTTAACTACAGACAGTGATACAGCATTACAGTATTAAACCAGTCGCGTGTTGAGGTTTTCATTTTGTTTTTACATATCATGGCTTTTTACATTACATAAAAACTGTTAGTAGGTAAAAATTTTACCAAATGCACTCACGTTAATTTTATTCTGATATGGTCCCTGGATTTTAAACACAATAACAAACACTAACACATCACCCATACTCAAACACACAATCTCCATAATAAATAACACCTTGGTTTAAAGAACATACCATGGTCTAAATGCCTTTAGTTTTAAAACAAAACTATTAATCTAATTCTGTCAAGCTGCACACGTTCCTCTTTACCTACAGATTTGATTCCTTCCTGTCTTTAGCATCTTGGTTGTTATTTTACAAACAATACATTTTCTTAATACATTACTCAGACATCCAATGCATTAAATTATAGATTATTTGGTTAACATGATATATTCTGTTATTCACTGGTGCAAGTTCAACTGTGTATACAAATATATGTGGATATTGAATAGCACCATGTTCTTGGAAATTCTTACATGTGTCATATTATTGGTTACTGACAATGAAACGTTCTATACTTCAATACTTTTAATTCAATTTTTTTCTTCAAATTCCTGATATTATACACTGCTATTCATATATATATTTTTTATAGGTGTTTCCCTTAACTGTCACTGGTGATATTCAACTTGTCTCTCAGAGATGTCACCTTTCAATGACCTCTGCCCATGCTTTTTTATGCATCACAATTTTGTGTGCTATAGTGAATGCTTAGTGGTGTATATGTTGTTTTATAACGATATTAAAACAAAGTTACTGATATCTTATTAATTTATATAATTATTAAAGTCATTTTTGATAATTAATTAAATAATAGATTTGTAAATTTATTTTATCTTTGAATTATCAGGCTTTATCAAAATAATCAAACTGTTTTTGTTTTGACTTCTTTCTTATACAATCACGTCAATGATGTAATATATCCAAGTTATTATATGTTCCTTTTGTGAATAATGTCATGGCAACTGTATATTAGTGCATTAAAATTTGTATGATGAAAATAAATTGTCTAATGGAAAAGCTTATCTCTAAATAGTAATTTTAAGGTCTTTTAGGCTGGAGTAAAATGATCCTCGTTGATGTTTAGGAAGATGAACAAAGCTACATAATAATCAATTGTGGTTGCCTTCATACTCCATGACAATTAATAGTAAAAAAAAACGTTAATTAATAGAATTAAAACAATGGAAAGAAGTAGATAAAAATAATTTCTACACTCTTATTAAATGGATTTATTTTGCACCATTTTGGCCTTAGAAATACAGCTGGTTGAAACATTGCAAATAAGTCAATTTAGTCTTTCCACTGTTTTAATTCTGTTAATGAATTCCACTACTAAAATAGCACTATCTTTGATTAATAAAAAAAGAAGATCAATGTTTATGCATAAAATACACATACTGTGCTAAATGTGCCAGAATTAACCTTTATATAACTCCCTGGTGCTAATCAATCATTTTTTGTCATCCATGTCCCAGAAACATCACTGAATCATGTGAAATTCCCTGAAGTTTCTTGGCCAGGAACACAAAATATTAAAATTCATTGTCTTTTTCCCAGTTTCACTGATCTGTGGGAGCCAAGTGTATTATACTAATACTATTTGTGACCAAGATTACAATTTTGAAATATCATGAAGGTTAGAATGAACTATCTGTTGTCAGAACAATTTTTATTATTGTTTTCATATCATACAACTATTGACACTTAACGGGCAACATTAATTTTATACTTTACAAATTGTGAAACTATCTTCTACTAATGAAAAAAAAAATCTTTCTACCTAAAGTAACATAGTGCTGAAAGAATACAGATACTAGAACTTCAACTGACCTGATCTACCACAGTCTCTTCACTTTCTTCAACACCGGCAGCCACATCCTGATGACATGTGTCTACTGACGTAGTGGATTCTGTACTGAAATGCTACAAACCAAAACTCCTCATTAAGACAATCAAAAGATACAGAAGACAGTGTTATAAAAAATTTACATGTATATTTAACAGTTTCTGTTTCATCATTTACTTAACCTTTGATGTATCAACTATGAAAAGTACATAGTTAAATTTACTAATAAAAAAAAAAAAAACTTTGTAAGAACTACGCAAAGTACTTGTATCAAACAGCATTATCCAAACTGCTAAAGAGAATGTATAAAAGATACTATCCTTCAAGGTAATGATTCGTGTGGTGGTACTTTTAATATCTCATTTCAAACCACTATAGAAAAATGGATATTATTCACAAAATCTTTACACACATTAATTTTTAATTCAAGAATTAGGAAGTCAAAAGTTTTGTAAGTATTTGATATTTTAACCCCGAAATATATGGGATTAACAGCTATACCAGAGATCCATAATGTTCAGGCACAACCATTCTAAATGTAAGCTGCTGATCAGAAGAAGGACAACTAGTCTGCACCTATAATGTCTCCACAACTGCAAAGTGCAATGTGTGTTCAGTGGTATATTGTGGCTTAAACCTTGAACCTTCCAAAGCTAAAACCTAGCACACTCACCACTTGGCCATGTGCAGTCCAAGTTTGTATTATCAATAAATAATACAGCATTTATCCTGTACAGATATACATTTATAGATATACTGTGGGAAGATTTATCTGAATGTATAGGTAATAACTTAAAAATATACATTAAAAGTGATCTTAAAAACTTAATCTCAATAATAAAAGATAAATATCAGGAAAATCAGTAGAATTGTTATTTTTCTATTAACGTGATTAAATATTTGATAAATAAATAATACATATTCAATGTCACAGTAAACAAGTGACATATTCAAATAAATTTATTATGATCCAATCATAAGTCAACTCCTGGAACTTATGATTTAATTTATTAAGAATGATATCATTAACATACATTCTCTCCTAGTACCTCATCTAGATTATTTGTTTAACCTTTCTGTTGTTGTTAATTTGATGTAAAAAATGTGATTGTGCAAAATCAGAACTAAAAAGAAAAAACTTTATACATTTAAAATGAGTTACTCTTTCCATACGGGCATCCTTGTCTGTGATTGTCATGAGGTTTTACTGAATTACATTCAATATTTAATTAAACTACTTTATTGTCATGGTATACGAAGAAACTTGGCATCAAAACTCAGCTAATAATCCAAGTTTTAATATTATATAGATTTTAAGTTCTTAATTTTATAAGGCAACATTTAAAAAAAAATCCCCAATTCCTCCTCGTACGAGAATTGTGACATTTGCTTTCTAGGTCTTTCCTCTTATTAATTTATTTACCACCTCTCTGAGAAGTACAGAATTTAATGTAAATAACTCATTATAATATTATTACTTTCAGACAAAGCATAAGTTATGATTTTATTCATTGAAAACATATTTCTGATAGGTACTTATCTCACATAAAAGCTTTTCTCATTCAGTGCAGCCTTTTATATGCAAACTTTTTGTCGAATGCTACTAGCCTTGAAACTCCCACCTACCTCATGATCAACATGGTTCACTGCGTCTTTGCATGTAAATTATCATAGGACAACCCTCCATGTAACTATCACTTCTAGATTAGGAAGAAATTAAACACTAGTAGTAGGGAGGAAGGGTGAGAAATGTGAGTGGAAGAAGTACCAATTGGAAATATATTTTTAGTGTAGGAAAATAATACCTTTTGATATGGTACCTTACCTCTTCTAGAATCCCACATTGAAAAGGTGGAGGTACTGGTGCAAGGGAACTAGATAAGCATCCTTCAAAAGTGTCCAAAGAACATCCATGGAGTGTGAACCCCTGTAGGGAGAGGAACACACATGGGAGACCACACCATTTCTGTACCAGGTGTACTTCTCGCCCAGTGTGGTAGTAAGTGTTTCATAAACAGGTGGAACTTGTGAGAAGCATATCTAAGAGATGAGCAAAAAAATCTGGGGTGGTCTGATCCCTCATCCCACTGAAATCTCAGGAATCATAGTCCAGGAGAAGAAAGAAAGTAGGGTTCCCAGCCACAGACCAGATGTTGGAGAAAGCTAAAAAGGATGTGCCCCTTGGTGTAGAATGGCTAGGGCATGACAAACTGTACTTGGTAGGTCAATTCTGGTCCAAAACCAGGCAGTATCAGGTGGACATCAGGAGGAGGGTCCACACCAGCTTCATCTCAAGTTGAGTAGAATGGAAGGAGATAATTCTGTACCAGTCAACACAACATGGCAAATGTGAAAATCCACAACCAACACCAGCCATCCGAGAACCCAACATCTGAACGATGAGAGGAAGAGGTGTGCCATTGTGACAGTTCACTTGAATTCCTAAACCAATTGGACCAGTTCCACTCTGCACAACATCAGCCTCGGGGAGTGAACCTCACTGAGGTGGAACACCAGAAAGACTACATTTCCCCATGCAACATCCTCCTCTAGATAGGACTGGACAGAAGCTACAGTGTGTGGATAACTCTCCAAGCAACCATGGACTTGGGGTGAATCGAGTCAGATCCCTGTAACATCAACCTATGGGCTACACCACACAGAGGTAGAGCATGAGGCAAAATTTCATGACCAAGGTAGGAGGAGGAATCACGTCTAACCCACATGTGAGAACTTACGCTTATTAGTCCTGCTTGAATCCAACACCACTAGTTGGGAACCAACATCCAGTCTATGGTAGGAGAAGGATCCCACCAGATGGGTGAACTACAATGTGGTATATTTACTCTATCTATTTTAATATATGACTGTGATATATGTGGAAAATCTACATCATCTACACTGGCAGACCCAGGTTGCCTCAAAAGTCCACCATCCCCAATAGCTAGGAACTGGTAAGTGGCAAGGACTCCCATAATCTACTAGAAGAAAATGAGGGGGAACACAGTTAGAAGTCCGGAGGAATGCCTACACCGAAGACAGTGCAATGAGTGGCCACAAAATCCCTATTTTGAAAAGCAGTCTTCCACTGATTTATTCAATCAAAAGGATGGCAGGGATGAACAGCAATCCCATTCAGCTTTACCCATGAATGTCCATGGGTTAGTATAGTCTCAAATGGGAATTTTGTTGAAGCAAATTACCACCACAAGGAAAATCTACTAGCAGTCTTGTGGAACACCTCATTTCAGCATTGTGTTTTATTGGCTATGGATATAGATCGAGATTGGCGGGATTAGTCTCCACTTGAAGATAACTTCATTGTGACATCCTATAAACCTCACCACACCACCCTGCTCAACATCATATTCTCGGGCCTAACACCCCCGAGGTGGAGAGCTTAGAGTAGTAGGGTGTAAGCCACACAATGTCATCCTCCAGAAAGGACTGAATAGAAACTGGAGTGCAAGACCGTACAACATGAACCTCAGGGACCCACTTCACACAGGTGGAGCGACTGAGTCACTAGGCAGCTGATAATATACCCCTGTATCACTTATAGTCAGCCTTGCAGTGCAGAATTTTGTGATGTATAATTAAGCAGTATACCTGGACAGGCAACACTCACCACTGAGTGGGATCTATGACCTAATAAGAAAAAGAAAAAATGGAAAAGCCAACTTACTGAGTCACAGTCAAACTGATTTGAGAAGGATGGCAACAGGCAGAAGACAGTACCTGGACGAGGAAGAATAGGTCACCCAATGAAAGGAGTGAGAGATGAACATATGAAGGATAGTCCACATGCCTGACCAAAGAATCTCTTCCAAAGGATGATCTTGAAAAATGTCTGGAAGTAGGAGAAAGGGAAGAATACACCAGACTGATAAGCTGACAAACCCACACTGTCAGGGTAGAAAGGGAAAATCATGCTTTGAGGAAAGGTTCCAGTGAATGAAAAGGCAGGATCAGGAACCACAAAAGAAAGCTGTGTGGGCAATATAACAAGAAAGAGCACTGACAGAAGATAGAAATCAATCTGGATCCAACTAGTAATAGCCGTGAGAAATGGAGGTAAGGGAAATATTGGCAGAAATGAACTATCCTCAGGAGAAGCCAAAGTTTTGGGCAGAAATGATCGACCTGGATAAAGGAGAACATATGCATAATGGAAAAGAGTATGTGAAACATTGATGGTAAAGATCTCAGATTGATGACACCTACAGGTGAGGGGAAGAAGGAAGTGAGTCCAAATGGATAGATGATACATGGAACAGGAGGCCAGAGGCTCAAATGAAGGGAGGGTAAGGGAGTGGAGAATGATAGGAACAACCCAATCCAAAAGAACCACCCAATGGTGAGGTTGATCAATGTGGAAGGAATGCAATAACTGGGACATGGTAGGAGATTAAAATACAGAAGAGTACCTGGAAAAACGGAAGATATTGGACAAGGCTACATAATAACCTGTAATGAATGAACAGAACACCATGATCGAACAGCCAGGTGAGAATATCTGCTAGAAGAGGGGCAGTGGGCTGAGAAGGAAAACTGCATGGTGGAGTGAACAATGGCAGAAGACCTTCCACTTCCATTGATAAATTGAGAGGGAGAAAGGATGAACAGAATGGGATAAATGGGATGCTACACGCTTGGATAATCTGGATCTCCTCGAAATGGACTGGAGAAATATTACACGAGAAAAAGGAGTGTGTGAAGAGCAGGATCAAGGGCCAGTGACCAAGGTTGACAAAGAAGGGACAATGTCAGAGGTAGAGGTAATAGAGGAGTTGTTTGGAGCTGAAGGAGAAATGGAAACCAGGGTTGTGCCAGCCAGAAAGGAGTATGTGTGTTTTGTTGTACCAAAGCCACATTGGGCTATCTGCTGTGTCCACTAAAGGGAATTGAATCTCTAATTTTAGCATTGTAAATCTGAAGACTTACTGCTGTTCCACTGAGGGATAGAAATGATCAACCAAAAAAACCTGACAGGGAGTAGACTGAAATCACCCTGGAAAGGAGCTGGACTGGGGGTAGGCATATAGGTACCGGTTGGTCCAATCCTAACTGAGTACAT